GTTCAGGGTCAGATACAATGAGTTCAGGTCTGATACGATGCGTTCAGGGTCTGATACGATGCATTCAGGGTCAGATACAATGAGTTCAGGTCTGATACGATGCGTTCAGGGTCTGATACGATGCGTTCAGGGTCTGATATGATGCGTTCAGGTAACATTTCACCCTCAGAACAGAGAACTTTCTCTGGAAGATATTTTGAGATCACACAGTAACGTCCTTCCTTCACCTGAAGGAAAATAATAAAACTAGATAAAGGTTATGATTTTATTTGAACTGGTTTAAACACATTTACATGAAGAATAATAGAATTCATTTCTGCTGCCTGACAAACATCTACATTTATATAAATGTGTGTAATAAAAAGCAGCTCTGGTTGTAATAACTGGTGAATAAATCAGTTTATAGATTATGTCAGTTTAATTGGAGAAGTTTACTTTTAATTATTTAATATTTAAGAACTGTAAGAATCTGTAAATGTGCTTTGTTTTTAATATTTTCTTTGTTGCAGTCATTTAGTGTTAAATATATTAGTTTTATATCTAATGTTTTTAATAAATACATAYATATGGGTAAATACAATAATAAATAAATAAATACCAGAGTAGAATCAGCAATGATCTGAGACACTGCTTCAGTCTGAGAGGGGTCAAAGGTCCTTTACAGTCCATGATCTACAACAGAACGGGTCCAGTCAGAGTCCAGAACCTGAACCTGTGCTGGACCTTCAGAGAGCTGAACTGAAGCAMCACTGGAAAGAGTTCTGCTGCTACAGGAGGTTCTACTGGACCAGGACTGGAACCAGGTTTTATTTAATATATACTGACTCAGTGGAACCGGTTTGATTTAGAACCTGGATCCGTTTGATCAAATCCTGATATGGAAACCCTGAAACTGGAGGTTCTTACAAGAACCGCTTCTTCAACATGAAGACGAACAGAACCAAAGAACTCTGAAAGAACTGCTGATCCAGAATCCTTAACCAGAGTCCAGGGAAGTCTGGATCTGTGGAGGGACAACAAAACAAATGATGACTGGACCAGGAGTTCTGGACCAGGAGTTCTGGATCAGAAGTCCTGGACCAGGAGTTCTGGATCAGGAGTCCAGGACCAGGAGTTCTGGATCAGGAGTCCAGGACCAGGAGTCCTGGATCAGGAGTTCTGGATCAGAAGTCCTGGATCAGGAGTCCTGCATCAGGAGTCCAGGACCAGGAGTTCTGGATCAGGAGTCCAGGACCAGGAGTTCTGGATCAGGAGTCCAGGACCAGGAGTCCTGGATCAGGAGTTCTGGATCAGAAGTCCTGGATCAGGAGTCCAGGACCAGGAGTTATGGATCAGGAGTCCAAGACCAGGAGTTCTGGATCAGAAGTCCTGGATCAGGAGTTCTGGATCAGGAGTTCTGGATCAGGAGTCCAGGACCAGGAGTTCTGGATCAGGAGTCCAGGACCAGGAGTCCTGGA